TAAACCAGTGGTTCTCAACCTGTGGGTTGCGACCCCTTTAGGGGTCCAACGATCCTTTCACAGGGTTCACCTGATTCATAGCAGTAGAAAAATTACAGTTATGAAGTAGCAACAAAAATAATTTTATGGTTGGGGTCACCAACAACATGAGGAACTGTATGAAAGGGTCGCGACATGAGGAAGGTTGAGAACCACTGCTTTAGAGAGCTGTCTATTCAAGTCCTTTGCCCATCTTCTCAACTGGGTGCTTTGCCTTTTTATTGTTAAACTGTAAGAGCTCTTTATATAGCCCAGGTATGAAACCCTGCCTCGGTACACAGATGTTTTCTTTTGCTGGTTCATTTCCTGCTCAACAAAATCATTTTGGAAAAATGTCCAGCTGTCCCCAGATGGATCAGTGCAAAGAAACCCCCTTGAGACCAGAAGTAAGAGGGCAGCAGCTGGGCCTAGGCTCTGGAGGGCCAGGCCGTGGCTGCACTCCGGAGGACACTGCCCGGCTCCCTGCCACCCCACGGGTCCCTCCCCTCGTGGAGCAAGCCAGTCAGCTGGCCCAGTTACCTGAACGAGCTGCATATACTTGTCAATGGCCGCTTCTTCGTGAGGAAACTTCTCCTTGAGGCCCTGCACGAAGGCTGCCTTTCCGCTGTACATGGGGAACTCCTTTCGGCCACTGGGCCCTTCTAGTATCATGATGTCAAAGGGCGAGGCCAGGGAGGCCCAGTCCAGCTGCCCCTCCGTGATCTGGTCCAACATGAACCGACCCACGCTGCCTTCCTCCATCTGCCCGATGTAATGGATCCCTGATGGGGACAAGGACACAGGGTGGAGGCGGCGGTCAGTCTGGCATGGAAAGTGGACTGCCTCCCTTACCTACAGGCAGAAACCACACCATCCCTGCTCACCCCAGGTCCCGGTGCAAGGGTTGGGGGTCAGAAAAGAACAGCCACACCCAGAGAAAAGACCAAGGCCAAACACCCAAACCCACGGCCACCGAGTTGATTCCAACTCACAGCAAGCCCGTAGGACAGAGTAGAACTGCTCCGTAGGGTTTCTGAGACGATGCATCTGAATCTAACATAAAACAGGCTCACTGTTAAAAACAACAATAACAAAAAAAAAACCAGGCTCACTGCCATCGAGTCAATGCTGACTCACAGCAACCGTGTATGGCAGGGGAGAACTGCCCCTGGGGGCTTCTGAGACTGGAACTGGTCTTTCTCCCTCAGAGTGACTGGTAGTTTCGAACTGCTGACTGTGGTTAGTAGCCAGTGGGGTCCTTGGAAAAGAGACAGGGCTCTTAAACGATAGATGCCCAATCTCACAAACTCTGCCATTGAATCCGTGCTGACTCAGAGCAGCCCTACAGGCAGGGTAAAACTGCCCCTTTGAGTTTCCAAGACTCTGTATGGTAGTGGAAAGCCCCTTCTTTCACCCTCAAAGGGGCTGGTGGCTTCAAACTCTCAACCTTTCAGATGGCAGCCCAATGCGTAACCACCACACCACCAGGGGTGCGTAGGGCTGCAAGGCTCCTGGAGACAGTCATGCTCCTGGCCCTTTTCCACACCAGCCTTACCTGTGTCGAATTCAAGGCCATTTTTTCCAAAGGTATGACAGCAGCCCCCGGCCTTGGTATGTTGTTCCAGCACCAGAACTCGCTTGCCAGCTTTGGCCAAAATCGTAGCGACAGCCAGGCCCCCGATACCACTGCCGATCACCACCGCATCCAGCTTCTCGGGCACTCGGCTGACTGAGAAAGCTGCAGCAGAAGGGAGTATCGGTGGGCTTCTCAAGAAGGCTCAGAGAAACACCACGGCCACGGCCACCACAGGGCGCTTCTCGAGCCCATACACTGCGAGAGACCCCCGAGAGCAGTGAGGCGCCTGACTAAATGGCCTCAAACACACGACCTGGGAAATAGAAACCGAAAACAAAGTCTGATTTGACCTGAACTAGCTCAACCAAAAGCTACTGTGTGTTTGGGAATTCCAGCAGTCCAAGAGGGTAAGACTCAGTGAACAAGGAGGAGGTTGACCTCTGCAGGCACCGAGGTCCACTGGCCTCACATAATCCACAGAGATCATGTTCCCAGTGTTGGCATTGCCTGGGGTCTTAAAAGCTCGTGAGCAGCCATGTGAGGTGCAACTGCGGGTTCCCCCCACTCCAGAGGAAAAAGGAATGATGGAAATGAAAGGACATGTGGAAATAATGAATCTGATGGACCACAATAGACATCAGTGTCCACAACCCTGAGACCAGAAGAACTAGATGGTGCCCAGCCGCCACTGCCAACGACTCCTGTGAGAAGGTCCTGGATAGAGTGGGAGAAAAATGTGGCACAGAACTCACAAACTCACACACTCGAGACCAGGCTTACTGGTTGGACAGAGACTGGTGAGACTCCCAAAGCGATGGCCCGTGCCCTCCCTGTCTAGAGCTAAACGTGAGAATACACAAGCACTTCTGATCAAGCACCAAGGCTAGAGGGCTAGACCAGGAGCAATGGAAACAGGAGGGATGAGAGATGACACACTTAATGAGTTGAATCAGAATGTGTATGAGTTGTTGAATGGAAAACTATGATCTGCTCCATACCCCTCACCTAATTCACAAGGAGAGTTTTCCAAAAGAGCAAGAAACACAGGTTGGGAAACCTAGCTGTAGAGAGAGAATGAAGAAAGGGAAAAACCGATGTGGGCGAGAGACAGAACATTATGGGGCAGGTTGCCACCCTGGGGCTCTCTGCTCACAAGTCATTTCTCCTGGGCAGCTGCGGAATCTGTGGGAGCCTGCGAAGCAGTCACTTTGTACAACGTATTCAAAATAATTTCCATGTACGTGGTGCCCTCTGGTGGTACCACATGGGCAATGCAAGTTCTGTTCAAAGAGTCACTTAGGAAGAACTGAGATTTAGAATTTTTCAAGGTGTGAGAGAACTTGGCAAAATTTTGAGCTTTCAAACGTTTTTAGAGACTGCCAGTGAAAAGTGCATTTTATATCCCAAGCAGAACAATACCCTACCATAACGAATCTGCTCTGTTCTGCATTTTCAGGCGTTACTTGTAACCCTTGAAAGTGACTTTGAGGACTCACTTATATATCACAACCTGCTCTGGAAAACAGTTTAAACTCCCTCTTAGATAAGTGCAGCGACTTGCTAGTGATTATACAGTAAAGTAGTGACAGAGTCCAAGTTCAAAATTCTGGTTTCAGAAGTTCAGATTATCAGCCCTTCCATTTAAAACGCCATCATCTTGGGAAGGGTTGTTGATAAGTAGCTGCAACTCTTGAATACAAAATTGATGGTCTGAAATGTAAAAGCCCACCTTATTCACAATAAAAACATTGTTTAAAAAACAATGTAGCAATTGTGGGCCAGTGGAGCAATGGATAATCTGTGTGACTACGGATCAGAAAAAACAATGTAGCAGATCATGTCACATGAATTATAAAATGAAGCGAGAGGGAAACCGGTGTGTGTGTGTGTGTGTGTGTAACCGGTGGGGGGGGTGTCAAACAGGTGTGTGTGTGTGTGTCAAACGGGGTGTGGGGGGGTGTTGGGGTGTCAAACCGGTGTGTATGTATGTGTGTCAAACCGGTGTGTGTGTGTGTGTGGCTTCTTTAAAAGTAGAACTCTTTTTTAAAACCTTTGAGCAACTCCGAGAGTTTTTTTAGTTGAAAAAGGACCATCTGTCTTCTGGTTTTATTTTGTTGAGAAGAGACACCCAGAAGAGCACATGTCAATAGTCTCTGCACGAACAACTGTGTGACGCTGCTTTCATTCTTTGAGGTGTGCAACCATCTACACCTCCGGCCATGAACCAACTCATTGCCCCATTTGGCTTCCATCTCATCTTTCAAATACTCATTGTCAGCTCGATCCCATACAACCCACACCACACCCACTAACACCTAGGTGTGTCCCATCCAAAGCGACCCTCTAGGGCAGGGTAGAACTGCCCCTGTGGATTGCCCCGACTGTAACTCTTTATGGGAATGGAAAGCTTTGTCTCTCAACCGAAGCCCAACTCCTAACCAGGAAACCTCCAGCGCTCCTTATCCCATAGTCTTAACCTAGCTTCACACTCAGGCAGACAGTCTACTAATTAAACCGTTAGATTTTAAGTAGACTTCTGGGGATATTTTTGGGTTATGAGAAAAAGATTTTAATATCATCCCAGATAACTAAGTATTGCATTAAAACCAACTAGACTCTCTTCCATTCATAGTGGATTTTTGGCCATGTATAATTCTGTCATTTGGAAGATGTTGGTTTACCAAGGAATGCCTTACTTCTCAGTGTTGGCATGCGCATGCAATATCAAGACGTTCACACTTGTTCGTTTCCTATCTCCTCTGAAGGGAAGCTGGTGCCCACTCTGCATAAAGAGGGCATTGGCCTCCCGCAGTTCTGGAGGAAGCCCAGAATCACGTCACTGGACAAACAAAACGCCGTTTGCTTGGCAAGGTGAAGGAGATGTTTGTGCATTCTCTTCGCCCCCCTGAGCCCCGGTAGTAGAGGTCGTGGGAAAAGCTAAGCAGAGACCTTGACACGCCGAAGGGCGGTGAGGGTGGGCGCCTCTTGCCCCGGCTTGCCCCGGCCCAACTCTCGCCTGGGGCGGCACCGGCGCCACCACGGCGCCGCCGCCACCGCCACCACGCGCGTGCAAGGACGCCTCACGGACCGACGGGGAAACTGACGCCTAGGTCGGATCGCACAAGCAGTCCGTGCGGGCTGACCCCCGGGACCCAGGTTCCCATCGCTGACCTTGCTTGAGAACTTTCTTCCTGGCCTCCTTGTCTGTCACCAGGGGAGCGGGAGGCCGCTTGACGTCCTCGGAGAAGGGGTTCGGGGCGCTGCCCGAGCACAGTGCCCTGTAAACTTTGTAGACGGTGACCAGCAGCAGCGCGCCCAGCAGCAGCGGCCACATCGCGCCGCGGGCAGGGCGCGGAATGGGCCGCGCTCGGCTGGCGCGGCTGCGGCTCCGCCCCTCGCGTTCGCCGGCCCCAGTCGCGAGGCGGGAGCAGCTCCGGGACTTTACCCACGCGTTTTCCCGAGAGGACACAACGCCAGTGCGGATTGACCCTCCCCGCAATTCATACTCCGTTTGCGGAGCCCGGGGTCCAGCGCCTGCCGGGAAATGTAGTTTTCCCGACAGGGCGGGGACGCGCGGGAAGCGCCGTGCGCACGCGCAGAGGCCGCACCCGCGCCGTCGGCGCGCAGTCACCGGTAATGTGTCCGGCTAGCGGGGGTCCGGGAGAAGAGGATCCTAGAGGAAATGCTCGCCGGCGGCCGTGAGGCAAGGCAGGTGTCTCAGGTCTGAGAGGTCGGAGGGAGAGCTGCGGTCCGGGCCCGCCTCTGTTTGGACTTGAGTGATCTGAGAAATTGCTTCCCGCAGCTTCCCCTTCCACGCAGGGAGGAAGTTTCTGCCTGGAGACCCTCCCTGTCCCTGTCGGAGGGGGTATCTGGGCGAATTAAGCGCCCTACCCCGGTCTGCCCACCACCGCGGGCCAGCGCCTGGCCCCGGGACTCCCCAATGAGCCCTTGGTGTGGGTCGCAGCTCCCCGCCTAAAGGCGTGGCCAGCAGCGGGACCCTGGTGGACCCGCCCCGCCAGGCTGCTGCCGGCCCGGTGCCGGTGGCCGCACTCCACCTCCGTGGAGCCCACCGGGCGACAGTGTCGCCTGCCGTAGCTGTCTGCACGGCACATCTGCTTGTAGAACGCGGACTCCTTGTTTCGGAAGGACGTATCTATCCACAGAGTGGCTCCCTTTAATGTAGTTCCTTGCCCGCACTGGGGGCCCAAGTACTACTTGTGTGATTTGAAAGAGGATCGCCATTTCCTCAGGCCCCTCTGTAAGTGTGCCAGTGTTGCCACACGTGACGCCACGATTCCAGATTTGCTTATGTGACGCTGTTTCCGATCGATCGCCCCATTTGTCCGATACCGATCGTTCCCGTCTCTGTGCAAGTCCCCAACAGTGTCCAGCCAGAACTGAGGCACTCGCAGGCGTGCTGGGCTGGTCATGCATCAGGGCATGCACAGTGGCACTTGTCCCCTCGCTCACCCCCTTCCCAAGGTTGGTTGGTGTGTGAGTGTCATGTTGTCATATGTTGCCATGGAATGTGTGTTTTGTCATATGTTGCCAAGGCTGAGGGGACAGAAAGGGAGGCAGATACCGAGGCCCCAGAAGCCACAGTGAGAACAGATTTCTGAGTTACCAGCTCTCTGTCACCCCATGTCTACCTTCAGCCAGCACCACATTCCAAAGAGCCAGATGCCCGCCCTGGATAGGATGTTTCCTACTAATTCCAGGAGTTAGGAATTGTTGCCTCCTATCTCCTAATGAGGAACCCTTGCGGCGGCGGCATAGTGGTTATGTGTTGGCATCCTAACCGCAAGCTGAGCAGTTTGGAACCCCCAGCCCCGTCATGAAAGAAAGAGGAGGCTCTCTACACCCATCAAGCGTGACAGTCTTGGAAACCCACCGGGCACTTCTACTCTGTTCTTCGAGGTCGCCATGAGTCGGGCCAGAATCAATGGCAGGGAGTTTGGCTTGGTTTTCCCTCCCTCGTGTGTGTGGCTCTCCTCACAACAGCAAGTGAGACTCCTGCAATTACCCGCATCTGCGAGGTGACTGTCAGTTGTCTGTGAGCCAGGTGCCCACTTAGGACCCCTCAGGGCTTCTGAGGTGACAGAATCCCCCCCAGGATGAAGTATGAGGCCTGTCCAGCCTTTCTCTTGAAGGAGACCACCTGAGATTAAAGACTAAGAGCCAAGCAGATTAAACAACTGGCCATAACTGAGGTCGGGGAGGATGGTGTGTGGTGTTGTGAGGTTCTGCCGTCGTAGGTCAAGTAAAGGGGCAGCGAGAAAGAGGAAAACCCTTAACAAGTGGACGGACACAGGCTGCAGCAGTTGGCTCAAGCCTAAGCACGATTGCTAGGTGGTGCAGGGTCGGATGGTGTCCTTCATTTGTCCATCAGGTCACTGTGTGTGGGAAGCAACTCGGCGGCCGCTGACCACCACCACCACCTCCACCACCTTCACCACCT